ACACTGAAAAGAAGCCCACCATTACTTGCCATTCCTGGCATCTGGCCTCCAACGATACGCACTCTCTTTGGATCAGTTACACGAGCATAGAATGGACTACCTACAAGAAAGTAAATTCAATCACTTGAATCACAGAATGCAAAAGACAATTATCAATCATTCAAATACTACATAATCAATGCTTGTAAATTATGAGTGCAGTAAAGCTAACAGCAGCAAACAGAGCTGGAATATGTGTGAGAACAGCAGTAAGAGGCAAGGCGCATTTCCCCCGGGGGTATAATAAACAAATCTCTTTTTTTCTGCTCGCTCTACAACTTTAGAGCTAGTTTACAGTTGTGGAGGCATTTTATCAAGAAAAGCAACTGTTAAGTTCACACATTGTTATTATTCATAAATTTTCTTTAAAGAATTATAAATTATATATATATCTTACCTTTTACCTCTTTACCCGACCAGGTGACCTTTATGGTAAAGATTCCGACCTCTGCAGGTATGTACATTACTGTGTAGGTACCATCTGGATTTGGAGTAATACTGCACTTTCCAAATGAGTTTGGCCCTAAAATATTGAAAAAAAGCTTGTTGAAATGATTGACCAATGTCATACTGCTATTGGCCAAATCAAACAAAAAATAATATTCACTTAAGCTTTGTCTACACTATCAAATTTTATGCGACAAAAAAATGTGATGTGCCCATATATGGGTATAATGACGTCATATCACATATCAAATTGTATAAAAAAAATTGTGTTCAACTCCCATGTTCCATCACATTTTATGTGACGCTTTTTTGATGAAATTTGATAGTGTAGACAAAGCTTTACATAATTGAAATGGATAACACTAGATCACTTTTGGTTCATCTAAACAGGTACATATCTAGTAGGTACTGATTTAATCACAACATGGCCTTAGGTTGTGCAATTGTTTTCATAAAATATATATATCCTAGAATTGGCATGAATTGATCCAAGGAGGACGGTGCAATTAACAAATAAACCACAGCTCCATTGAAAAAAAATTGATATCACAAATCTGTCATGGATTGTGCAGGCCCCATTATTCAGTAATCTGCATTTACTGCAGGTCGATTTGAGTTGAGGTTCAGTTCTTCCACTGATCTCTTTGTTCTGCTTTATTTCAAATGTCTGACAACGAGCTTTGTTACTCCTCTACTATAGCTCTCTACATTATGTACCTATAATGGTGATGATCTGATGTCATCAGGACCATATTATGTTAAATAAAATTTGTCAGTCTACATAGGGCTTAATAAATTGTAAATGGCTTACCATCCACTGTTACTTTTAATTCACCCTTGCCACCTTCTCTTGGATCCACAATGAATGTCGATGGTCTTCCCTCTTGCGCAAGACTAAGGCCATCACCAAACACCTTGATCTGGCCAGGTTGTCTGACCTCAAGGTTTAATGGGTCATCTGTATAAATCAAAGTAAAAAATTACATGACAATCCCTAAAAATATATTTATTTATTTATTTATTTAAAAAGTAGTCAATTTGAAAGATACACGATTACTCTTTGTCAGAAGAGGAAATTTTATTAAAGAGATTCTCAAATTGACATGGATAGATGGAGAAAAATTGATGAACTTCTATACTTTATAGATGATATAATCATGAGTAAATTAGTATACAAATAAAATTTAAAAAATATATGTTGTATATTTTGTATATGATGCTTCCAGCATTAGATAACGTTTGCCTTTCATACAGTATACAACAGGAATGGCCATAAAAATCAGGGGGCTAAAGTGAATTTTTGATTCAACACTGACGGCACCCAAAATTTGATTTTTCAGTGTGCTTCCAAAAACCTTAATGGACTGCTTTTATATCATTTTATGTTCAGTTCTAATATTACTTTTGACAGATGATCGGTGTCGGGCCATAAACACACAAAGGGGTTTTCTAGCCAAAGATGGTTGGCAGGCCGCACATATAGGGATTTTAATATGTTTTCGAGGGCCACAACAAAATCAACGTCAGCCTACATGTGATATAGAATAATTAAAATGTATCCTTTACATAAATTGATACACAATGAAATCTCTCACTTACCTGAGATGGTTTGGTCATTCCAACGAATGAAAACCTTGAATACACCAAGTTCAATTGCTCTGATGTGGACCACAAATGATGTCATACTTCCGGTGATCCTGATTGGTAAGTTGTGAAAGCCATTACTGACCTCAACAGTGAGGCTGCCCTCACCAGCCTCTGAAGCATCAACTGATGAAAAAATGAAAAGATCATTATTGATCAAGAATTGATCGAGAATTTATTCAAATTTGAACACACCATGTACAGTATATAGTTGTACAGTTGAAGTTGCCTAAGTCGAATCCAAAATGCCACTGAAAAATTGTTCGTCTTCGATAAAGTTTGACTTAATTAATGAAAAACATAACAGTTTGGCATGTAAAATAAGTTCGACTTCGGAATTATTCAAGTTAGGCAAGGACGACTTAGGCACTATTTTTCCCCTTGTCACTTTTAAATTATCAGAAGCTTTAAAAATTAAAACTTTTAAACTAACCATATATATCCCAATAGGCACTACACAACTCATAAAATTTTGGGGATTTAATGAGACACTTATTCTGGAGTGTCACTTATTTAAATATAGCATTTAGTACAAAAAGTATTTTTTTAAAGTGCATCAGAGGAGAGCAGAAAAAAATATAAACAAAATTTTTTTAACTTAGCAAATAGTTACAGCAAAAAAGCAACCATAAAGAGGAGAAAATAACAATAAAATGTTATTGGGGAATGTATACAGTGTAGAAATGGTATGGTTAAATGCTTTAAACTTATATAATTAGGAAAAAATATACATATCTTATTTTTGGAGAGATTTCAAGGCAATGATGGGCGTAATAAAATTAAAGAAAAACTTTTTTTTTTTCAATTTCTATTTTTACATGGCGGTGGGTGAGCCAATTGGCCAAAAATTAAATTTCATATTTACTCAAAATCATCATTATTGGCGGACGGTGAGCTCGCCAAACAAGGTATAAAAAAGGTCTCGCCTTAGCATCCTACTTGGTTTTTGTGAAGAAAACATCATCCTCATCGTCATCACTATATATATTCAAATATCACTACAGTATGTGTGGGCAACACAACATTTTTTGGCTTTATTATAATTGTTATCATTATAAGATCATAAAACAAAGAAATACTTAATATTTTCTTACTCTGTACTTGGCCTTCTTCACCAAGCATTATGTGATCTACTTGCGAAGTAACAACTACTTTACGAGGAAACGACTTTGGAACTACAACCTTTGGCATAACCATTACAAATACAGGGCAGCCTCTGACCTCTTGACCTTGGCAACGAACAACAACCTTAAATGAAATGGTCCAATACTGTATATTTAGAAATGATACGCATTTTCATTATCATCATCACTACTAGTCCTAAAAATCACCAAAATCAATTTCAGGGCAACTCACACAACACGACTTGGGGGCTTCTGCCTGCTACCAAGGTGATTTTCAAATTGTATTAACTAACTTCTACTGGTTTTTTATCCTTTTTAGCATGATCATTATCATTATCAACATTATCATATATTATCTTATCATCACAATAGAATATAATTCTATTGCCGCTAACTTTACCTTATGCTCCCCCTCATCACAAGGGATAAATGTTGCCTCTGCCTCGGTGGCGCTCTTTGTGTCAATACTGATAGAGGGCGGTGTACTAAGACTCTCCACCTGAGCAGCAATATCATTCATAGAGACACTTGAATCCGAAATTCTAATCTTGAAGGTGACCTAAAATCCATATAAAATCAATAAAATCGAAATAATAATATATAATTCAATCAATATATTTAAAAACTAATAAATTACTAAGGTCATTTTTCACTGCAGTGAGTGAAACACAAGCATACGATGGTAGAAAAACTTCATTGCATTAACTTTTAGTATAGTTTGAATTTGCTTGTGTGAAGGCAACAAATGAAGGGTCTTGCTGGAGCCGGTAACATTTTGACTTGTCAGAATTGGGCCTACGTGTATCCAACATTTACAATCAAACTTGCTTTTGGATGCAACAAAAAATACTTACAGATTCTCCTACATCTGCGTAAAATCCATCATTATTTCTCCGCAAACTCAAAAACTCCAAAGAGACGCAGTTCTCGGGGGAAGGTTTGAGAGGTGCAGGGGGTTGGTAGTTGATGTATCGAGCAGCAAACGTCATGACGGCAAGTTCATCAACTTGTGGGTTGTTCAGGTTCTCAGCAGTCACTACCGCTTCTATTCCAATGCTCTCACTTGCTTTAATACCTGTATTATATAATATAAATTATGCTTTAATTAATGTTTTTGAAAATTAACAAGGTGTTTAATTCCTCCTACTTTAATGAAGGCAGTCCTTCCAGAAAACCTAATTACATCATTTTCACTTTGTTTGTTTTTGTGTTTGTGTAGAACGATAATAACTAAAGGCAAAACGGTTCAAAAATACCAAATATAAAATCTACAAAACAATACAAATTCAAATAAAACATTAAATTGCTCTTTCAAAAGCATCTGATAAATTATTAATTTCAAATGACACATTTAGAAAATAAAATGGTTTTTACTGAATTACAGACTACAGACCCTTAAGTAATATTACCAGCCAATTTTGTTTATTCAAAATTTTGCACAGTGGCACCTCATAATGCACAGCCTAGCATGAAGTAACACTATTTTTGACAACGTTCTAATAAAGAACACATAAAGAAAAATAAAAATTCTGTAACAATACTAACAATTAATATAGCAATTAACATATTCAAATTTTCAAATACAGTACTTCAGTATATTTAGTAAATCTAATGAAATGTATTTCTGAGCAATTATTTCACACTAATTATCTTCTACATTTTAATAAATCTTTGGTATTTTGATTCTATAAAAATATGAATTGGACAATTGTATAGAATACTTGCTTTGTACTTGTGCTTGCTAAATGGTATGGAACAATATGTGTGTACACTTGATTTATGTATTTATGTTTTACTCTAATGCAAAATACAAGACCTGCCAAGCAGAAGCTAATGCATGCCTAATTTACTTCCAATAGCTCTGGCCATTTGTTAAGGAATAGTAAGCATTTGGACTAACAAAAGCTAAACAAAGAAAGCCACAATTCAATTAAATATGACACTGTCTTGAATATCAACATTCAGAAAACTGTATACTATCTAGTTAGGTAAACTTACCTTTACAATTCAATTATTATAATTTAATTTTTACCTGCTTTTATCCCAAATATAATAATAATACCTACCCAAGAGATATGAAAAATCCTGACAGAAATATTTGTTTAATTTCCACACTTATAACTAAATACTTCCCACATTAATCTAAGGAGTGCCTGTATAATACAGTTTTTGGAATAGTTGATGCTCGTTCATCCATGACAAAAGTTGAAATGTAGTCAAGGACTTGTAGTCTATTGTACTCTCTTTACAATTGTCCTTGCATGAGCTCCTAAGCAATTACTATTTTGAATTCACAGAAGCATGAAATTCCATTATTTCTGTCTATACCAGATTTAATATAGTATAACAATTATTTTTCACTGTAACAATGTGCAGAAAACCATCGACAACAAAAGGTAGTCTTATCAATTAAATTAATAGTGTGTGAAATATGTGAATATGCTATGATAGTACTGAGGTGTTGGCCAATAATGACAAACATATTATCATAAACATATCACCTACCTATCAAGAGACCTATTCACACGTACTTATTCAGTCACAACTTAGTGTGTCACATTGAAAAAATATATTTAAATTTAAGGTTTTAATGAACTAATTCCGACTCAGCATTGGCTGACCGTTAGCCGACCATCGTGTGAGCACTTTGCAGAGCATCTACCGAGTTGCAGTCTGAGCAGATTCTCATTGAATCTCACATACACGCCCCATCAAAGTTAACATGTAATCATATTGGCCTACTCGTCCTGATGCTGCTAAGAGTAGCAGCTATGTTAACCATACTTTTTTCACTAAAATAACAAATGCATAATTATTACTGCTGCGCATTGTAAATAATTTATCGATTTTTGGAAAAGTAAAACATCCGTCTGTAAATCAGTGAAAACTAATTTCTGAGTCTTGGAAGTTGACCCTTTTATATAAACCTAATGTTTAATCGGATTATTTTTTAGGGGGTGCAGGGTGGGTTTTCAGAGACATCAGACCGTATTATTATATCATGACTTCAGTACATGCTCGAATAAGCACTGCGGCGCTTATAAAATTTTTGGATGCTTCAGTGAGCGCTTATTCGAGAGTGGCGCTTATAAAAAAATATTTTTGTAGCACTTTCAATGCCCTTTCCCACGTTACCTATCTCACGTATCCCAAATTCTATAGGCTTATCATAGGTCCTACATCTACGTCGTCGTAAATAATTGTTTATAAAGAAATATTGTCTTCATTGTGTCATTTATTCATTTTAACACTGTATACATTGCATTTAAAACCCAGTGTTTCATTAAACACAGGGTAATAATATAATAATCTCGATTAAACACCTGAGGCGCATATTCGAGAGCGACACTGGAAAACAAACAGGTATGGTGCGGCACTTATTTGAGAGCAGCGGTTATTCAAGCATTTACAGTATCTTTCTTTATGTTTGTATTGTTTACTTGACAATAAATCATGAAAGCAGCATATGAAGCCATGAGCAGCCTATACAGTAGTTAAATTCAAGAAAGTAAGTTTAAAAATAGAAGGTCTAATATTTAATAACATTAAACTACCTTTGCTGCTATTTAATGCATTACCGTACCTGTATCACCATAATGGTTTAGTTCAATTCCTGTTTGTCCAACAGTAGATCCAATGGCAAGATCCTCTACAGAATCAAGGATCTGGTAGCCCTCGGTATAGCACTGATAAAGTTGCGTTGCTATTACACAAATGGCTAGTTCCGCTCTGTTCATGAACAGATCTTGGACTGACACGTAGAGCTGTAGGCCTAGCCGTGTTTTCAGGAAATCCAGGACTGATGTAGGTGAAATGACATGATTAACAAAATGATATTTGACACAAAATACATGCAAGATGTGACAATATAAATTTGGCTGATACACCATGAAACCTGGAATTGAAGCTCAGGGCTTCTACTTTTTTCTTTGTGAACTTTGGATGGGCTTCTTTTCAAGATGGGCTTCTTTTCAAGGATACTTTTGCAAAGTAATGGGGGGGGGGGTGTTCTTTTCAAAATGAATGCTGTAATTTTTGGAATTGCCACTATAATAAATAGGGCCACAGTAACATCATTCTTTATCATGAAGTGTGTTAACTGGCATTAAGTCACCTAAATTAGTGTAAACCAACCATGTTTTTAATTCATTTGGTTTCTCTGTAATTATCTGAGGTATGAAATGCAAGTTTCAATAGCGGATGGGACAATGAAGCCGTTGGTTCCATGACCGATATGGCAAATGTGCAAGAACGCAGTACTCTTCATTTGGAAAAGAGTAGAGGATTGCCTCCCACAGTACTGCCCCTTCACTGCCAGAAGGACCCCACAGGAAATAAGTCCTCCTTGGTGTATCTTTACACAAAGAAATCCAATCCAATCAACACAACACAAATATATGGATATTCACAAATGTGCACTGCAAGACAATCCACTAATTTTTTACAAAAAATTAATACAGTATGTACCAAGTTAATGGTATGCACAGAGACACTGTAAATGCGACCAATGGCTAGTACCTATCCAAAGAATGGTAAAATTTTACTAAAGTGTCTTACTCAAAGACAATACACAAAAATTGGTATTGGCAGATTCCAAAGAACATACGCACATAAGCATATGACCCTGTACCTCTGTGCTAATGCCATGCTTTCTCTTATGCAAATGTATGTTCTCCACAACAATTCCAATTATTATTGTTATATTTCCAATAATAATGATTTCTATTTTCATATGATTCATGATATTTAAAATGCACAATGATAAAACTGAAATTTGTTGGCAACACACTGGGTAAATTTCCAATGATCACAATGGTCGGTTGCATCTAATTGTGGATGTGAGAGGGAGGGGAGGGGAGTGAAAAGAGTGAGAAAAAAAATTATGAAAGTTAGCCTGACTGAGACCACAGGAGAATATCTGACCTTTGGTGCAATTCTCAAGCCCTGCTTCTTTGTCCATTTCCAGCCAATCAGGGAACTTGTTGCAAACGGCATTCACAAGGCCACACAGAGCAATGCCATCATTCCAATCACTCTGCAAGAGAGTATTTATGATATGAATTAATGTAATGTGGTGAATTTATCAATATCTTCATTTATTTATTTTTTTTAAAATCATTATTATCATCATCATTTTCTTATCATTTATAATTCTCATAATCATAAATTTGGCAAACACAAGCCAAACCAGTCACTCATCCTGTTTCAGAGATAACGGCCAAAACATGTTGGAATGTCAAATTTTAAAAAATCTATTTTATTGCACTAAACTAAGCTTTATATATCCATATATCATGCTATGCTTTTATTTTCCCCATTTTCAATGTTAAAACAACAATTGTTAATGATTTGGTGATGGTTTCTGCATCAGAAATGCCCAAAATCATAAACTTTGAAGGCTGATTTCTCAAATATTGTTCTTTAAACAGCTGTATGTTTAAATGCTTGTAATTTCTTTAGGAAATGTCGGATTTAAATGATCCTTCTACCATTTTATAGTTCACATTTTACTGTAAACCACTGTACTTATACAACTAAAAATTGATTTTTGCAACGAGTGACTAATTTTTCTTTATTTTTATTACGCCCTACGCTGCCTTGAAATCTCCAAAGATAAGATATGTATAATTCTTCCTAATTATATAAATTGGAAGCATTTAACCATCCTATTTTACATTCACCAATAAAATTTTATTTTTATTTTCTCCTTCATCTGGATGATTTTGGCAAAAATATTTGCAAAATAAGAAAACAAAATTTTATTTTTATTCCACCCTCCACCAAAAATCTTGAAAAAAGTAAGTACGCGAAACAAGGAATAAAAAGTCTCGCCATATCATATCCTTCTACCTCACCTCATCATAATATGTTGAATATCATCAACCAAATCATACTATAACAATTTTACCTGAAAGTTTTGAATGTTGAGTTGCGGAATGGTACGTCTGACCCAATTCAGTGTAGCATTCCAACCAGGTCCATTCTTCTTCACAAAGTATGACAGGTACGTCAGACAACTCAGGTCATCCAGGTCAGGGCTGCTCATATCTTCTGCGGACAGCACCTTGGGAATGTTGAACTGCTTGTTGGCCGCCTCTAAAGCTTGCTGGCAGTTCTCCATCTTTTTACTTGGATCCAACAATTTCCAATTGGACATCAGGCCTGGTGTGCAGAAGTCTAACAATGCACTGTAGGTATAATTTTACATTAAAAGAAGATAAAGAACACCCAGGCTTGATTAGATGTTTTGATACACTTTAAAATATAAAACAAACAATAAGGGAAAGAGGACAAATTTAGTACTTACAGACAGACTCAGTGGCGTCGAGAGGGGGTCGGGGGGTCGCTGCCCCAGGTCTACTGGGGGGACCGGACCAAGATGAAAAATTTTTGGGGTAAGAACAAAATCTCCATAGGGCCCGAGCCCAAGCCAGGATGAAAACTTCTGTTGTCAGATTTAGGAGGAGACTTAATTTGGGGAGCAGCCGAGTGGGGGTCCCAAGTAAAGGGTGGGGGTGGGGCCTATGTGAGGTGTTGCCCCGTGGCCCTTACTGGCTCTCTACTCCACTGTACAGCCTAGTACTTATGTGCTATCTTAGAATGTTAGCATGCAGTGATCCCCACCACCTTCATGTGACTGCCTCCATTCCCACATCAATATTCCTATCGCCACTGTAAAAAAGTGTTTTCAGTATGACGATAATGAACAACGATGAAAAGCTAAAAAGCAAGTGTTCATATAGTAAATAAAAGAAATAAGTTTTCACACTAGCACGATTCCATAACGATTTATCGTGCATACTATAAAAAATAATTTCACATATCATGGAAAAACAATAAAATCCTTTTTAATACTACAAATTTATCATTATCCCATGATTATAACGTCATTTGATTTGATTTGTGAAAATTCGCCGCCAGGGTTTAATCCTGGCCAATGTAAACATTGAAAGAGGTCTATTGGATTAGGCCTATATATTGGCTATGTTGAATAAAAACATCCTAGGCTAAGGATGTTAAGGCCTAGTTTTAGGGAGGGGGCCTAGGCTAGGCCTTGGCCTCCTAGGCCTAGGCTTATAAAATTATATCAAAATTATGATCTGGTTGTTTTTTTAAGGCCTGGTGTTAAAATGACCACTGCCTTTTTATACTTACCTCAACTTAATTCCATCATTCCAGTCAGAAGTGAAGTTTTTCACTTCGCAATCTTTCGGTAGGACCGCATTCACCCAGGCCAATATGAGTTTCTTTGGCGCTACAGAAGCTGCCGACTTGGAGCCTTTGCTGCCTTGGCCTCCTCCGCCGCCACCAGCACTTATTTGATACTTCTGAACCAGTCTCCATACGAGGCCTAGAATTATTTTAATGTTTCCTTCCGCAATATCGGCAGCACCTGTTGAAGCGGTATGAACAAATAAAAGATAAAGACTTCGATTCAATACTAATGAACAAACAGAACCTATGAATGATGCTTACAAAAGTAAAAATACCAACCGTAGACTAAACGTGTAACCAAAACAAAAACATGTGTGGGACTACTTTTGTAAAAAAAAAAAAGTTCATTACATTTCAGGCTGTAGGTGTCGCTATTTAAAATGATTCCAGTTGTGCTTTCCACATTCGCGTAGGTGGTAGCTTTACAAAGTCTCAACTTAGCAAAAGCATATTTGTCATAGAAGTGTGTACAGACTAGGAGGGGCGATGGAAAAGTGATTGTAAAGCTAGCTCTAGGATGCGGTGATATGAGGTGACTTAATATGTTGAGTGTATTTTTTTTTTTGGCTTTTTTAAAATTGCAGATACGGGAGGGGAATAGCAACACTTTTCTGGTGGGGGAGCACACCCTTTTGAAAAACAACTGCTAGATAGGACCTGATGAGCCCACCTACCACCAACATACATTATCATTATCTAAAATTTCGTATCATTATCATTATCATTATTACTACCAGGCCCGTAAACATGGGGATTTAGTGCCCCCCCCCATCCCCCGTTACGGCCTGACCACTCTCATTATTATCGTTTAATCGTAAGCAACACCAACAACAAATTGTATATCATTATTATCCTTCTCTATTATGTTATTTTTATCATACCGTCATTATTTTATCATCATTATTACTGTTATCGTTTTTGTTGCTGTTCAAGTAGTGGTAGTGTTCACGAACAAAAAAACTGATGGATTAAATCGAAAATTAAAAACAGATATAGAGGTAGCTTACCGATATTTATCAGCTGTATTCCCTCCTCCGTCATCATTTCCAGTGCATAGGCAATATTGTCCATCTTTTGCGCTTTTAACTTTGGATTTTTCGAGTACCTTCTTTTGATCTTTTTTGGTTTCTCCGACGCTGAGTCATTCGTTTCTTTCTTTATCAATTTCTCCATAAGCTTGATTAACAAAATGCCATCTGTGAATGCGCTTTCGATTTGGTCAATCGAGAGAACTGTAGTCCCATCCACAGAATCATCATCCTCGCGAAGCTGCTCGTTGCACCAATTCGTGAATGTTTTCTTTTGTATGTGTACCCATCTTCGAGAAGCATCAATTTGCTCTCCCTTCTCTTCAACCTCGTCGTCGTTCTCATCATCAGAAGAAAATCTCACCTCTTCTAATTCTTCTTCTGTCGACGGTACTTCACTTTCCCCAGTCAACGTCATGTTTAGGCTTTATAAATTGTGCAATTCAACCACAATGCTTATCTCTACTCGAAATCAACACAACACTCAGAAACAAGTACGGTTCCGTTTTATCCGAGCAAGTCGGTTACACGTTTAGTACATAACCGGTCCTCGAAAAGAAACCCCGATTTTAGTTAAACTTACAAATAAAATCACTCTGCACTCTATAAACTGATATTGAAGTCGTTTTCACTGTTTTGATACACATGAATAATGCATCACGTAGGCCTTGGACGAGTGATCAGGCTCAAATGTATCTAGAGTGGTAAGGTACAATGTTCGACAATCGATAAAAAAAACACGGCAACAATATGATCGTGATGTCTGTATGCAGAGCCTATAAAGGTCCAGCGATAAAAGAATGTTTGTTTTACCGGGTGGTGCGTGTTTGATTAGTGTTTAATATTTGACAGGATAGACTATCATATCACAGGTTAAGATTTCGCTATAGGCCTACACATTCCAGTAAATACACCTGATTTCAGAGGAATTCTATATCGTATACAAGTTACAGTAGGTTTATACATACAAATTAGTGACTGATATTTTTTTTTTTTTCTTGTAAATCGGAAATATTAATCCAACAATTTGTTAATATTTATTGCTTTCCATCAACAAATTAAATGTCATACAGAATACTGTAGTACAAAAAGAATATACAGGATTATCAAATCTAACATAAAAAAATCTACAATTTAATGGATGAAATCGTTCACAAAAACAGCACAAGAACAAATATAAAAGTACAGTAATTTAAACATGGAAAGAAGAGGATAGACCAAGGAAAGAAGAGGATAGACCAATGACTTCTTCCCATAGACCCAAGAGTTGATACATACAATTTTGTTTTAATGTAAACATATTGTACAAACCAATATACCATGCGGTGTGTATTTAGAACTGATAACATAGATATCATTGGTTTTTCATTTTCGATATGTTACTACTGCTGCTACCGATACAAGAGGGACACCTCCTTATCATGATATTAAAGTCCAAATAGTTATACAGTACAAATACAGTATTTACCAAGTCATAGATTCAACTATAATCCTGTGCAATCTATGGTCAACATATTAAATATCCATAATATAAGTAGAAAATAGAGCGAGTTTGTGTGTTCAGAAAGTTGTCTAACAATTGAAGTAGTCATTTTCTAACTGTATTTTTGCTATATTTTCCTGTCAATTTTAATATTTATTTCATTTTAGGAAATGGCTGAACTTTTCTTTGAATGTAAATTCCTTTTCATGGAGAGTACAACGCGAGGTATGCACAAGGTATAATTTTTAATTATGATCCATCAACAGCTCAGAGAAACCTGAGATAGATCCGTCAAATGACGGCCTAGCCAATGCAGCATGTGCCCTCCCAAATTTTGACACAACACAGAAATGCAGGCGTCACATGTTGGAAGAAATCCCTTGCAGGAGATCTAGTTATGGTTAAATGGGCCTTCTTAACATATTTTATTTTATTTTGCCACGCATGGCGATTACTATTCAGCACTGATTTCAGTGAGAGAATTGATGTTAAAAGTAGTAAAAACAGGCAAATACTATGAATTTGCTGGAGACTTGTTATTTTACGGGAGATTTTTGCTTGCTTGCAGGAGTGTGGGAGGTCGTCCTGATTTCCAGGAGACACTTTCAACTTCGAAAGACTTAGGACCATGGAACTGCAAAAATAACAAATGTTTATGAAAATGGACATAAAAAGTAGAGTCTCAATATCCAGTTAAGTCAAAGTAGAGGTCAACATAGAATAATCAAATAATTTTAATATTACTACTAAATACAGAAGTGAAATAAAAAACAAAGATGGACATGTTGTCTTTAAGTATTTTTATTCAATATATTGTTCTCTACGAATATTCCTCGTAAATGGCCTACAATAAGATAGTAATATAAATATAGGTATTTTGATTTTTTTTTTTAAATTAAATTAATAAGGATTTAAACATAATTCATTGAAACTAGATTTCTAGTATGAAAGCTGTGACAAAATTAAAATCAAAAGCAAAAATTGCTGGTTTGTGGAACTGGAATTAAAATATAACTAACATAATTGAAAATAATAAAGATCATTTAATTCAATTTAATTAATAATAAAACCATATTTAATAATGAGATTCAATAATATCATTTTGACACCAATTACATCATGAACTATAATTATTAATTATTATTATTATTATTATTAATTATAACATTAATATAATTAACAATAATTATTAATACTATTAACAAAAAATTAAATAATCATTACTAATAAAAACATTATTCTATTGATGAAAATTAAATGTATATAAATCTAAATTACAGAAAGAAAATACAATACAATTTTAAAAAGTTACTTTAGAAAATATACTAAAATTGTCTTTCACCAAAAACGAAGATGGTCATAAACAGTAATAATAATAACAACAACAAAGATTAACCAGCAACAAACATAATAATGTAAATATTGATAATGTAATTATAAATCATGATGTTAAAACACAAACTAACTTAGACTGCCATAAACTCAACACCAATTACAATTTGAACTGGGTCCAGGCCCGTTTGCAGTAGGGGTGAGATGGGTGCGTACAATAGTTGAAATATACTGAATACAAAATTTGTTATTTTTTGTAATACGAAAGAACATAATAAAACTTAAAAGGAAACCTTAGATACATTTTAACCAGTAATCTATCGTAACCCCTACAATGCCCCAAAATGCCAAACTTGCCATCCAACTTGCTCTCCCGCTGTGATGCTGGCAGGAGATCTCAGTGACTCTCATACCCCAGTTGGAGCATTTGTGCACAAAACCACCCCCACCCCACTACTATGACAATCCTGGCTAAGGTCTAACTTCTCTTTTTTTCCAGAAATTACCAAAAAATATATTATGTACAATAAATTTAAAAGTAACAGAAATGTTACCAATAGGACTCCATCATATTTTAAATGTTCATGATAATTAATATCAGTAATCAAGTTAGCAAACTTAAAATTGTCTACTGTGCTACCAACAGTAGCTAGTCATATTATGACTAATCATAAATTAATCTATGTGATCAGTTTCACTTGGATTAAAAAAAAGGTGCAAAGTTCCATAATTTAATACAAACTACCGATAGAAAATTTTGTATATTTATTGGGCCTGCCCCATCCATTGTACCCACTAAAAACTAAGTTATTATTTAAAAATAACTGCATATAGTATTACCATATTCCCCTCCCCCACATGTCAACACCCCACATGTTAACATTATCCTCCCCTCCACCCCCCATGTTAACATTGACCTCTCCACCCCATGTCAATACTCCTAGATGTATCACTGCTTAGGAGGTCAGGTTTACCCACCTGAGCCTGAACTGTTCATCAAGGTAAGATGTTAAACAAATTATTAAAAAAGACATTCAATTTGATATGAAGTAACAAAAAAGTATGCTCAATACACTCAATTTTGGTCTTTGATATGTCGCCCTCTAGAGGGAACAATAAAAAATTGGTCTTAATAATAATAAATAAAAAATCATTTACGTCAAAAAGAGAAATTTCATTATATTTACTAACTGTATGAATATGTTTTGCTTATCCCTTTTCAAAGTAATAATATAATATACTGGTAATACAAAAGCAAATGCTCAGTTAGTGTAATTGTCCATAAAAAAATTCATTTTAATCTGTTAATATTCCAATTAGAGCTAACAGATCCTGCAACCAGAACTTATTTTTTAGCTTTAAGTGGTGCTATATAAATGTGGCTACTTATGTCATTCAGTATTAAATTTATTTTACAGAATTTTGGTTAGAATTCCAGTGAAAAAAAACATGTGCAACTTACACATAGTTGTCAAACCAGTCTTCTTGGAAGTTGAGGGAGTCCCAAATCCTTTCACACTATGTGTACTGTCTTCGTTTTCCATTCTTAATACCGTTTGTTTTGGTTGGGAGACCTTTTCTAGTATTCAACATATTTGAGCGCAGGCCATCCTGATTATTTTTTTAACATGGGGTTGCATCCAAAAACCAAAGATGTTCAGCCACTGTTTCATCAGAAGTGCAGATATTAAATCCAAGTTGCTCTGTGTTTTTGTATTTCTAAACCCTCATAGAGAATTTTCTTAACAATCTTAAAACCCACTCAAGGTTAGGGGTTAAGAGAAAAAACAAAATATCAAGGCTTTGTCTAGTACTGAAGCAAAAGATCTGCCCCAGATACAGAATTTTACATAATGATAAATATAATGTAAGGACATTACTTTGTGTGCTTATAACAGTCTTATATCCATTTTTTACTCGTCTACTCATTCATGGCAAGTGTGGTCAAACTGTAATCCTTCCTCATTCCACTTTAGGTCGTTGCACTCAAAAGAAGATTAACCTAGAAACAAAAATTAATTAAAAAGTTCTCACTGAATAATAGATATTATTAAAAAAACAGAACCTAAACAAAATCATTCATATTTTTTTTTTTTTTTTTTTCCTTGAATCTTTTATTCATTTATTCAAGAAAACTTCCGGGACAGAGAAGTAAAAAAGAACAACAAGGTACAAAAAAAAACAATTCATTAAAATGGACAATCTCATTACAAGAACCACAACAATGGAGATAAAAAAAAAACATGAAAAAAGTTTACAAATTCAATTACATCAATAAATGGAGAAAACAAAACTCCACCTTAACTTTAACACCACTTTTAACAGGTACAAGCAAACAACAGTCTTAGAAAATATTCAAACACACCAGACAACCACTAAACAAAAACGGAAAGTTTCACAGGCACTTCGAATTCAGTTTATTAAACTAAGGCCAATAAAAATTACAAAATCAAACAAAGGTCGTCCTTGACAAACGGCAGTAAAAGTTAGAAGGGTGACAAAAGTTTCTTTATACGTTGAAGACTATAATGTGATAAAAAAGGGTCATTAAATAAAATTCCCTGAATTCCCTGTCATATGACAATTAATAAACAAAAAACGAAAATTCATAACAGGTAATAATTTATATAAACATTCTCACTTCTTTCTCCTTTTTTTTGTGTTGGGAAATCTCCCAACACAAGGCTATGAGGTAATGGACTAAAAAAGAAATGCTCAGTGGAGCCAAGAAAAATGATTCACATTCCTCTGAAATAAAGTGAGGTCATAAACTTGAAAAAAACAATCAGCAGGTAGTGATTTCCAAAGAGAAATTAAACTTTATCGTCATTAAAGATTGTTTCACTAACCTGTTCAACAGATGGGCATGCAATAATCTGCTGCTCTTCTTCACTATATTGCTCTTTAGCGATTGCCTCTAGTTGTTGAAATGCTAACTGGACATTACCCTGTAAAAAGCATACTATACTTTAACATGTGCCATTCATATTATTGTTATTAAAAGTGGGTTCATAATCTGCCTATCTAACAATAACCTCTGTCTCTTATACACATCTATGTCAATACTCCTAGATGTATCACTGCTTAGGAGGTCAGGTTTACCCACCTGAGCCTGAACTGTTCATCAAGGTAAGATGTTAAACAAATTATTAAAAAAGACATTCAATTTGATATGAAGTAACAAAAAAGTATGCTCAATACACTCAATTTTGGTCTTTGATATGTCGCCCTCTAGAGGGAACAATAAAAAATTGGTCTTAATAATAATAAATAAAAAATCATTTACGTCAAAAAGAGAAATTTCATTATATTTACTAACTGTATGAATATGTTTTGCTTATCTAATATGCTTGGCAACTTGCTTTTAATTTGTTTGTATGTCACATTTACCACTTCATTTACTTTTTCTGAAAGATACAAAAAAAATCTTTAAAGATGGTGCACTACATGCCTAGTGCACTGTAAAACTGTGTGTGGGGAGAGGGTGTGTGTGTGTGGGTGTGTGTGTGCATGTGGTACAAACTATTATATGAAGAAGAAAATTTGTTTACATAAACAAATAAAGAATGAATATATGAATGAACCAAAAGAGTGAACAATTAAACAAACAAATGATGAGGGAATGAATAAATGAAGTAATAAACGGAAAATGAATGAATCAACGGCCGATAAATTGCAACAACAAATGTAAAAACGAACATGTAAATGCGTGAACAAATGAACAAGCAAACAAATGAATGTAAGAACGAATGGATGTAAGAATACATGAAGAATCAATGTAAACCTTGACTAACATACCTGGGCTTGCAAAAGGTTGTTGTTTAAGGTTGATTCTTGTTCCTTCTTCCTTATTTAGATTCAAAACAACATTTGCCTATAAAACAGAAAAAAATTACATTAAAAAAACTTTTAAATTATAATCTCTTTTTTCTTTAATACAGTAATGAGTGACAAGAATAATAATAATCATAATAATTGATAATGATAATTAATAATTATAATGAAAAAGCTAGAACAATGCCACTGTCTTGGATTTCTAGCCATGCCACGCCCCACCCTTCTGCACAAACTGGCTTTTGTTTTTCCTTTTCACACACACTATTCTCAGCTATTGTTTAGTTTTCCACCAATCAGCAGCAAGTCTTACTACCCAAAACATATAAGTATTTCACTTTTTTGGAACTTCTGCAGATATTATTCTCCTGAAGACGATTGAAGCAACTCAATCGAAATGCCGAGATATTCTCCACCAACAACAACAGTTCTTTTCAGTACTATCTAAGTGGTGTACCGCAAGAATTAATATATAATATACGTTTCAGAATAAAAAAATACCTTGGTGAGGAAAGAGTTGAGGTCTGATATAAAGCTATTAGTGACATTCTTAATTAGATGTTCACAGGTTTTCTTCAGCTGGTTGTCAACATCTTTCTTGGAGTCTATGTAGTGTTCCAATACTTGAGGTGTTCCCTTAAAAAAAAACAATAATTAATAGTAACAAAAATTTATAATTTTAATTCCATCTAGCATTAGGTTTTCATTTAGCAAAATATTTACCAAAAAGAACAATTTGGGAAAGGCTACATTTCTAGCTTAAATTAATAATTCCATACTTCAGCGATTACCAACCCAACTTCATGCAGAGACTGATGGTTGGTATGGACCCTACGATTAGGGCCAGGACAACAGCGTAAAGAAAATAATTTTTTTTTGGCCTTAATGTCAAGTTGGAAAAAATTTCCTTGGTAATTACAACATGAATAATGCATGTGTAACCTTATAAATTACGAGGCTTGAAAAGTGGACGTGTTTCAACTGTTAGAAAACTTATTAAATTTTCGGGATTTAAAAATGGAAAGGTGATCACTTAACTACACATGTGAATGCCGTGTCGAATGAAAATTTACCAACTGCCCCCCTCAGCATCCCTTTCTACTCTTCTCAAAAAACGATTAGATGGTTAGTAAAAATTGATTACTATGTGCTGTGATAACATTTTTTAATTAGATATTTTCATTCATTTTAAATTTAATTAATTTCAGATCTTCAACATCCCACATGCATCATCCCATCCAAACACAATAATAAACAAAACAAAATCTACTGCTGTATTATTTTCAATATAGCATACTAAGTGATTAAACATGCAGTTGAGGGCTACCATGTACTGAGGGTGCTGTTTAATTGTATTTAAACACACTCCAGTCGCATTCATAATCACTGATGATACTCAAATTTAGAGCCTAACAAAACTTGATACATTGTTTTGAAACAAAGTGCATTGACTATTATTATTAACAAAGAACATTGAAATATTAATTTTAACCATTAATCTATATGCTCCATATTTCATTTATTTAATTCCAGCCATACGTACATAGAACACGGAGCATTTATACAAATAATGGACAATGAAAGACCAAAAAGGAGAAAAATACCTATGTAAAGATGATCATTCTAAACACAAGGCACTATCAGTCATTTAAATAATAATAATAATAGTAATAATACAAAAATCACAAGCTTTGAACAAAAATAAAATGTTATGTCATTAATTAGGTCAAACTGTATTTTTTAAATTACATGCATATTCTTACCGACTTAATTTGTGAAAAAATTTAAATGAGAAGGTTGATGAAACATGAAAAAACAAAAGAAATGTTCACAGCAGGAGTAAATTTGAGGAGTAAGTGTGAAACAAAAAATAGATGAAATCAATATCAATTAGGAATTTAAATACAGTGTGGGAC